GGCCGCTCACTGGCTGAGCGAGGTGCGGGGGCAACACCGAGGGTTGCGATCCCGTTGCCGGTCCCGGTCCGGTACGGGCGCGACACTGAGGGTTGCGATCCGTTGCCGGGCACGAAAAAAGACAAAAAAAAAAAAAATCAAATTAGAAAATGAGCAAAAACATGAGGAGACTTTTCACTGAAGCAGATACACAGACAGAAAAGAGGCAAATCAGATTTCCATCATCACTGTCCATCAAGTGTCAGACCTTAGCATTTTCTGCTTACTCCATGCGAGCCCTTGTCTGCCTCCGGGGATCATGGAAAAGCAGCCGCCTCTACCAAACAGTCCAAAATGTCTCTTTAGTGATGGTCGTTAGAAACCTACAATTGTTTCCAGGAATTGGCAATGGGAACAAAGTTTTTCAGGAATATTCTCAGCTCACTGACATGCACTGTCATTGTCACTACTGGTGAATTAATAAACTGCAGTTCTGTGAGATATCTCAAAATCTTAAACTTCTATTTCAGGAACTAGCTGGCCCCGTGCCCCCAACACACTGGTATATCACAATAAGCCCTCAGTCCTGGCAGCAGGAGAGAATCACATGAATATATTCTATTTCAGTCTGGGAGGCAGTCTTCAGGGAGAGGGCTATCTGAAGATGGGGTAAGTAATCACACCTAAAAAAGTGACTCCTCTGGGGTAGAAACTATTCTAGTGGCAAAGACATGGAGTTAGGAGGAAAAATTCAGGAGATATGAACTAAGTTTGTGGAGAAAGAGGTCTTAAACATCACATGAATTCCTGATTGCTGCTAATATAACTTACTGTAATCCTCACTAAAGGTGATTTTTGATGTTTTAACTATGTAGCATTTAATCTGATATTAAATTTATCTATAGTTTTAACTGGTTCACCTGCCATACAAGAGTCCCTGACACTATTTTGAGGATAACAGAGTACTGCTATAAAACTTCCATGCACATAATGAAAAACAGAACTTACACAGTGATCTAATTATGTATAGAAATTATGTGTCTGAGTGAAAATAGCTAGAATGTGCCTTTTCTCTAATGGTGTTTATGTAATGTGCTTAATGGAGACAGTAACTGTGTCTAGACAGAAAACATCTATGAACTGCTGACTATGGTGAGAATAATCTTCTTCATTGTAGAGGAGCAATTTAGGGAAAATTAATGTCATCAACGTGGGTTTTGTACCAAGGGCAGGGAAGCAGGAAAATAGATACTTTGGCAGTTTCCACATTCATATGTATTCTGTAAAAATTTTTTTTTAGTTAAAACAATGGTTTTTTGAGTGCTAAAAGAAATGTTCTAAGAGTAGATTGTGGGGATGATTTTATAACTTTAAATGTACTAAAAATGATTTAATTGTATACTCAAAATGAAACAACTTAATGGTATGTAAACTATATATCAACAAACCTGTTTTTTAAATTGTCATCCCTAGACTCCCTAAATAATATAATCTGTAATTAATAAAAATTTATTCTGTACCCTAAAATGTTTTATCTCTTACTCATGGCTTCAGGTTCTATAACTTAGCTCACCATAATATTGTACAATTATTTCAGTGGTTCCTATCATGTTACTCTTGTTCCTGGCTTAGGGAAATGTGTCTTGTCACCATCGTGGTAGTGAACTACTCTTGCTTCGATCAATGCAACTTCCTGATGGATAATCATTCTTGTAGGACGATGTGATAACTATCTACATCTTACTTAAGTGTTTATTCATAAGTAATATTGACCTATGAAATAAAAGTATAGACAGAATAGAAACATCACAATTACAATTACAGGGCCGAGCCCGTGGCGCACTCGGGAGAGTGCGGCGCTAGGAGCGCTCCCGCCGCGGGTTCGGATCCTATGTAGGGATGACTGGTGCGCTTACAGCGCTCACTGGCTGAGCGTGGTGCGGCCGGTCTCAAAAAAAAAAAAAAAAAAAAAGACAAAAAAAAAAAAAAAA